GGTATGAACATACAATAGCCCTAAAACAAAGGTGGGTTTCTTTGACCCACTAGTCTCACAAAGTAACCATAGAAGTATTGTGCAGAAAACAAGAGGATTGCAGGTCAAGGTAGACGATTCTGAACCAGCTAAAGCAGTTGGGGGGCTTTCTTCGTGATCTAAGAGAGCGCCCACACGAGCCAGCTCGAGTAAGTCCCGAACCCACCTTAAATTCCTCTCTCATCGGTTGGTATACCTACCCTTGCTCTCGAGCAAGGTTTTGAGAGAGTGATCTCAAATCCCAGATTCACTAGAAACCCAAGATACGTGCCCCTAATCATCTAAATCCGGAAGGCGAGATCGAGGCACCTAACCACCCGCTTGTGCTGCTTTGGTGCGATTGAAGTATGGCAGCATTAGAAATGCTACCAGCTCCATTCGAATGGCCCCCAAGGCCAAACTCAGTTGGGGTTTTTATAAACCCCCAACTTGTTCATTTTCATTATCCCTTCCCATTTTTTGACCTCAATGGCCTCTTCTAATCTTTTTGGTGAGGGCATTTTATTTTTGCCTCTTTTCCTCTCTCGTCCACCGGGACTTCAAACTTGTTAGAAACTTGGCTGGAGTTGTGAATCTCTCCCATAATCAAGCTTGCAAATCGTCCCTAGATTTTGCAATGTCAAAAGAGATTGATTCAGAGAATCCTTGGGTCTTTGAAGGATGGCACATCAGTGCCGGTTTGTGGGAAAATAACGTATGCCAAAAAACCATAATATCATTTGATGCAATTTTGTGAATCACCCATTCCTTTTTTCATTTGAAAATTTTCATGAATTTGAAGGTTTTTATGGTGTTGTGATTCCTTTAGCACAAAAACTCCCAAATTTAACCCTCAAAAAATGACTGAGTTTGGGGGAATAAACTCGTCATACATAAGGAGCGGCAACCCACCAATGAAGTACAGGTCCATCAGCGATATCCCTGCCTCCCCATGACCAAGCAGCCAAGTGTTGCTAACATGGCTCCAAGTCTCCAACAACACTTTGACCGTGTTTAAGCAATGGTCATAGTAGCCCCCCAAGCACTGGAGGACATCCGGCTAGGAAGCCTGCCTCAAAATATTCCTAAAACGCCTTAGCACTTTCAGGGTCCATGAGGAATACCCTTCAAGTACCGGTGCTCTCCTTGTACCCATAGGCTGGCAAAGCCCATTTCATGCTCGGGGTTTCTACCATCCGCTTGCCTAGAGTTTGTAAGTTCACATTAGGCATTAGAGGATATGTTCATTTTTTTGGGATTTTTTGGGTTTTTCTTACTTGATATTTGCAACTTCCGGTTATTTTAAAAACTTGCTGGTTACGGGCAGAAATGGCAAATCCGACCCCTCCTTCTTCGATCGGTGTTGGGACTTTCGTCCTACTTGGTGGACTTCTGGCCATCTATCGGTCAGCATATGCCGGCTTGGGACATCTTGATGTTGGAGCATTGTCATCAATGGGAAGGTCGTTGATAGTGGTTTGAATGCCGCTCGAGAACCTAACTCGTCAAATACCCAATTTTGGGTGATCCAGACCGATTCAGATGCTTTTGATTTGGGCTTAATAACCCTCGGAATGGGACTATCCTATTTTAGGGCATAACAGAGTGAGCCTTTGACGCTTCTCTCCTATCCCTTGTCATAGACCCTGGGATGAACTCATATGCTTATCTTAATGATTTCTTTCTCTCTTCTTTTTTTTTTTTTTGCCATATTCCTTCTCCTTTCCCCCCCCCCTGTTTTTTTTTTTTTCTGTTTGTCTTTCCTATCCTTGAAATTCTAGGATGGATTGACCTGATGGATTATAGTTGGGTTTTTAGCCTTGCATTCCCCTGTCACACTATTATTTGGAGATGGGGTCTTATCTTGCCATTGTTCTTTGCCCCAGCCTACCCCTCTATCTTCTACTCGCCATATATACAGGATACACTGGTGGGCAAGGATTCTTTCTCCTCGATTGATCAAGCAAGTCAGGGACATCGGCTTATGGGAGGTATGTTAGATTGATGCCTTCCCCTTGGACATGGCACTCATTAGTGCTCTAGTTCATCGATTTCAACCTGAGACTGTGACTTTCCCCTTTCCTTGTGGGGAAACCGGCATCACACTAGAGGTTGTGACTTAGATCCTTGGGGTTAGGAGTGATGGGGTACCCCTTCTTTATGATCCTCCTCCAGGTGGCCATTCTGTATGGGGAGAGGTCCACGAGTTGTTGGGATATATTCCTCTTAGGGAGTGAAGGCGGGGCGAGAAGTGGATTTTGGAGGCCATCGAGGGTATAAAGCTCCAGTGGTTTGAGGTAGATGAGCACTCAAGGAGCGTACTGACTTGGGCAAGAAAACTGCCTGTCAAGCCCAAGTCGACACGAGCTAAGAAGGCCCTAGTGAGCGGTGCATCTGTTGCTCCTATTGAGGCTGAGGAACCTATGTTAGAGCCTGAGGATGAGGAGAGGGAGGCTTCTCCTTCTGCTTCATCTTCTGCGATCGAATCTGAGAACTAGGTGCAGAATGACGAGACCCTTATATCGACTCCCCAGATGGATGGATGATGCAAATAGCATAGGTATCAGTCTTAAGCGCCCTAGGAGGGCTTGTACTCTCAGGGGGGTTAGGAGAAAGGGGCTTCCCCTCCCTAATCCACCAGCTCATGACCAGGTAGATGATTTCATCGAGGGTTCCATTCCCTTAGCTGATGTTTTGGTTGGAGAGACCTATGGAGCAGGTGGAGTAGGAGATGCAGTTACTTCTGTGGGATCGGCTCGTATAGAGAGAGTTACTGGGGAGACCGAGTCCCTTGGGGATGATCATGATATTCCTGCAGAGGCCGAGGGAGAGGTCCCTGTTGAGGTTGAGGAAGGTGTTATTGGGATAAGGGAGTCTTCAGTCCTAACTACGATCACCCTTGCGATGCTGAGGTTACAATGGTGTATAGGCAAGCAGTTCGAGGTTTTCTTGTGTACATTTTTGGTGCCCTTCTATTTCTTGACCTTTCCAAGGGCAACCCCATGTTCAGTTGGTTTGGACCATTCGGGACGTCAAGTATCTCCATCATGTAGCATGGGGTTCGGTTATTTTAGCCTTCCTCCTTTCGGGTTTGTGGGAGGCCGCCCTTGGGTATGTGAGTTATGTTAATGGTTTTACAGCCGTACTTCAGGTATTTTATTATTCGAACTTCCCTTCTCTTATTTTCTTTCCTTTTTAGGATTTCATCCTAATTGAGGGCTCTTGAGCCTAGAACACATTGATGTGACCAGGCCACTTATTTTGAGTACTGCCAAAAGCTTTACTCATATCCATCGTTGAGCGCAGGGTAAGTGAATGTGTAGGCTTTTATAGTGGATCATTATACACTGATCTTTGACGTCATGGAGGAGACAAAGGTATGAGAGCTTTCTTTCTTTCCACTTTCTCATTTAATGACGCATTCTATCCCCGCCTATTTCCTTACACTTCTTTTTTCAGATCAGATGCGCTCCTGCTTCTGGTGATGAGCCCCTAGAGATAGTATAGTGATCTCAAAGGTCTTTTTTACGACTGCTCCTCTGATTTGCATGTATGTCGTGGAGGCATACCATTCAGATAGGCTCCTTCGACACTTTCGGCACCCCCAGGTGGAGCTACCAAATGTAGATGTCTTTGTTGTCCTTGAGATCAGTCTGGGGCAAGATTATTGGTGGGACTTGTCTCCTTACCATACCCAATGAGATCATCGCCACTAATTTCAGGTACCTCTAGATCACATTACTCTCGAGGAGGCGGATCCTTTTTTCCATGCCTATAATGGTCTGTGTACGAGGTTGCCCATCGTTCTCCTTGACATCAGCTGAAACCTATGCAGTTGACGAGATATGAGCCGAGCGTAATGACTTTAGATCGAGGCTGAGGCAGTTGCAGGAGCAGTGAGCTCAGTTGCAGAGGGAGCATGAGGATGTTGTTAGAAGCAGGTCCCAGATAGAGCGCAGGAGGGACTCCCTTCGTGACTCTTCTCAGATGGCCTCTCCCCTTCCACTAGTGGGATCTCCAGGTATTCCCCTTGCACCGCAGACTTCCCAGGGTCCTTCGACTAACGAGTTCGAGTGCTTGTGTTCTCAGGTCATCCTATATCGGTCCGAGTGCTAAAGACTTCGATCTGAGAGGGTGCGCAATTATTATATATTCTTTTTTTTATGCTTGCATTTGACTCATATTGATTTTTAACCCCTTTTGCCTCTTTCCTCTGTTTCTTTTCCTTTTTGGGCCAAGACCATGCCCTACGTGAGTATGCTAGTAGTGCAAGCGTTGTGGCTGCTTTGGAGGGGTAACCATTGGGGGGACCGATCCTTCTCATATCATAGAGCACGCTTTGGCTCGATATCCTCATCCCCCTCCTTTGGAGCGTACATAGAGCTTAGCCATATCCAGCTGTGCCTTACGAGTAGGTGCAAGCGAGCATCGTCCTGTGGATAGTACATCGCTACCGGGAGCATAGGATTAGGAGGCCTCTTCATCTCATCATCCTTCCAGGAGTTGCCACTCCCAAAGCCCTGCATTTTGACGGATATTTGATCCTCGGGCTTTGCATGCCCTTTGTGGTTGACTCTTTTTTATCACCACAATTTTTGGATTAGTTGTTTGTATGGATAGGCTTATCTTTTGTTTGCTAATATCATGGCATGCACATTCATTGTATATGTTCTTGCATGTTTTGTATGTAGATGGATTGATTGACAACAACCATGTGCACACACTTATGAATGAACTATGAATGAATCTTTTCTTCTTTTTACTTGCATAAGCCATTTCTTTCGTATGATGAATACACATAACACAAAAAAAGAGCCACCCCTTAATTGCCTCAGAAACACGGACGAGAGAGACCTCTTTCTACGCTGGTTAGACTTGTCATAGGCAGGGAGACACCGTTTCCATCAAATGGTAGTTAGCAGTTTAGAGTCGTGCAACCATGGACTATGAATCTTATTTTAAAAGATTTTTTGAAAATAATTTGGTGTGATTAAAAGCAGCTTCTCATAAAATCATTTTAAAATAGGAGTGGGCCTTATAGTTTAGACAGGTATTGTCCCTTAGTGTAAATAAAATTATGTATGTTTTAAGGGTTAATTAAATCCAGAAACTAATTTAAGATCCTTGTTTTGAAAATAAATTTTTGTCCCAATAGTGGATTCTTGTTAATACCCATTTTCTAAAAGTGATCATTTTTTGTGTTTTGAAAATGGAGTTTGATGTAAAATTTTAGAACGATGGTTCCGTCTTAGACCAAAAGGACTTGAAAATCTCAAGTATTTTTCGCCTCGAGCACCTACCCCTTGTCTTGTGAATCAATAGATTTTCTTTGGTTTCTTTTAACCTACCATCTTAGAGGCCAAAGGAGTGTCTTTCATGAATTCTTTGAGCTTCCCTAGAATATCTGAGAATTCTGAGAGGTTTGTGACCCTTGAATTCACTGCGGGCCTTCCTTGGTAGATCTGAGCCTTGAATGCCCCTTTTGGAGTTTTCATTCATGGTATGGGGAATAGTGAGCTTTTCGGATTTTTACTATTCCTAGATTCTTCTTTCGCATTTTTTAAACATTTATTTCTACTATGTCTGTCGTTTCGATTTTTCCCATGGCGCCCTTTTGGGTTTTCACCATATCTAATTATTTTAGCATTTTTACCCATGGGCCTATTTCCACCATGTTCATCCCTTTTCTTTTTCTTCTTTTTTTGGTATTTTATATATATATATATATATATATATATATATATATATATATGTGGTGTGGTTTCTATAAGTTTGCAACCTTAAACAATAGGAGTATAAGATCTTGATAAGGTCAGGTATTTCCAACTCATCCTGATTTCTTAACCAATAAGAGCTGCCTGGATGTACCATGGTTATCACAAATGGTCCTTCCCAATTAAGTTTGAATTTTCCTAATGGGTGCGGGTTGGAAAGTGAGTGGAATATCTTCTTTAGTACCATATCATCAACTTAAAATTATCTTGGAATGATCATCCTTAGGTAGGCTTGCTCGATACGTTTGTGATAGCTTCACATAGTATTGCAAGCTTGGAGTCACCTCGTATCTGGAGTGAGAAAGGAGGCTAATCGTGCTTCATGTATTCCATCGTCATCCAGCACACGATAAGCAAGTATACTAAGAGAAGGGATATCAATTTCGACAGGTGTGACTGCCTCCACACCATAGACTAGTGATTATGGGGCCGATTGGTGTCTTCGTGGTCTAGTATGCCCACAAGGCATCTTATAACTTTTCGTGCCAGTCTTTCCCATTCTCTATGGCTCTATCAATGAACCTGAGAAGGGCTTTGTTGGTGGCCTCAGCTTGGCCATTCCATTGTGGGTAATAGGGTGTAGAAAACTTCTGAGTTATGCTGAATATCTTGCATACCCTTGTGACAGTGTCATTTTCGAAATTCGTCCCATTATCGGTGATGATTGCTTCTGGGACCCCAAATTGATAAATGATGTTATTCTTGAGGAACCACGCTACATGTCGTCCTTCAACTTTTGTGAAGGAGGTAGCTTCTACCCATTTGATGAAGTATTCGGTGGCGGTTAGTATAAACCTTTGTCCATTGGATGCTCTAGATGATATCATTCTTATAACATCAAGGGCCCACTTTGCAAAGGGCCATACTGGTAGTGTTGAATTCGGATGCATGGACGGCACGTGAATGAGGTCCTCATATATTTGATATTTGGCACAACCCTTCGTATGCTTCCAACAATCCTCAGCCATGGTAGTCCAATAATATCCTTAACACCTAATTTTCTGAGAAAGGGCAGGTGCCTCAGGATGTCCTCCCTATCATGTGCTTCGATGAGAATTCTATCGATTTCTGGATGATCGATACATCGTAGAAGGAATCTAGCAAAGGATTTCTTATAAATTTGTTCGCCCCAGACGACAAAATTGATAGAAAATTTTCTTAGGGCTTCCTTGCTTTTTGTACTTGCTCCTTTTGGATAAGTACGTCACTGTACCATGGTTTAGCTTCTACTTGGCCTTGTTCACTTATGGCGAAGGTCCCTCCCATTTCTTCTTTATTTTCATCAATTTCTTCAATTTCACTTGTTTTTTGAAGAGAGGGGCTATGTTTGTGCTTGACGTAGAAGGGTTTAACATCTACCCCCTAAGGGATACTAACCATAGAGGCTAGGGTGGCAAGGGTATCTGCAAACGCGTTGCTGACCCTTTCCCCATGTTGGAAGGTGATTTCTTTGAAATTTCTAATTAAGCTCCCAACCTTTTCATAGTAGGGAACTAATCGTTCATCTCATACCTTCCACACCCCTTGGATTTGACTTATTACAGGGAGTTGGTCAGGCTTGGATCTGCCTTGCCCGGGGCTCCCTTGTGGTCTCCGGTCCAATAGACCCCTTCTCGAACAATCGCCTCGACCTCCACGAGCACCCTTGCGACTCGTGTGTCATGTGTGGATAGGTATATCCAACTATAAGAGGATTTTAATGCAATGAAGTGATGGACTCGAGCACCTACCTCACCGTGATTGTGAGTTGTGGGATAAGCCCGGGCTATTGCCCTCTTAGATCAATAAATGAAAGCCCTCCAGCTGTCCAACAATACAGTTTGGATACAACCCCCTCTCGAAACTCAGCACTTCACCTTGACTCTATCTTGAAAGGCTGCTAATGAAATCCAAATAGGATGTACTCCTCTTTGATGTACCCTTATATAGATCAATGGCTCTAGTTTTGGGGGGTAAAGTGATTAAAAATAATCGAATCGATGGTCTCAATTGTTCAAATACATAAAAATGACAGTTTATGAATTCCCCTTCCCCCCATCCATTTTAAAAACTGAAACTCCATTTCCACTACACTTTACAGCCCACCACCCCCAAAACCCATGAGGAAAAACCATAAATACCCAAGAAAATTTTAAAAACTCACCATTGTCATTTACCAAAATATCTAGTTTTGCGTTTGTGGTGACTGAAATCTGATACGAACCGGAACGTTCTACCACGTCCATTATCTTTACACACATAGAGCCGGTCCCCTGTGTGCACTCGTATGTGTTTGGTGCGAGCCCAAGCCCATTTGAAAGTCATCTTGCACCCTTTCAATGGCACTTGAGTGGCTTCTTGCTTGGTCCCAATCCCCATTGAGAACCCATCTGGATTGGTATGCATCCTCTTTGTTTCTCTCTCCTCTTTGTTCCCACTCTCTGGTATCTTTTTCGACCTCTTCTTACGCACACATCGCTTGTATGGAACTTCAGTTTCATCATTCCTTACTGGCTGGGGCTTTGGGGGGCCGCTACCTCAGCCGAGTGCTTGGGCCACCTTCATCTGCATCCTCCTTTGGGCTTACGTCCGAAAGTTTAGAGAGGGAAACAACAGTGTTCTCATTAATGCAAAAATAAGTGTGCATTCCCTACTAATGCAAGAAATCAAAGAACAAAATGACCCAAGATAACGTTTCTCTTCCTTTATAAATATACATTTGTCGTTATGGCAGCAAATATGCTTAGTTTCTTTTTATTTATTAGTAAGCTGGATGCAAACCCACAACCTTGAGATAGCAACAATAAATGATTTCCAATTGAGCTCGGGCTCGAACCCGATGGTAAATACATTATAAGATAGAATACAAGAATAATTGCAATATACCTAATGAGAAATAGTACCAACAAAAATACCAAGTTGGTTCCATTTCTTCATGCCACTCCTAGGTGTTTCTCCCTCTTTGCCAATTTCATCATGCTCCTCAGAAGCCAGGTCGATGCCTTCAAACCCGGCAGCTCCCCATTAACAGACCTCTTGCTGCAAATCTGTCTCAATGACTTCCTCCTCTTTGTGAATCTCTTCCTTTTCAAGGAAGCATCCAGGCTAGATACTCTCTCTAGGGACCACTGGCTTTTACAACTTCTGGATCATTGTCTCGAGATGTCCCAGCCTCGTCAGGTTCTGAGACTTCCTCTCTAGACTTCTGAGCTTGATTAGGTTTCAGATTTCTCTCCCCTTGCTTTCCTTTCGTTCTCGGGCTCTTTAGTAGTGAACAAAACAGGGTGTTCTTTAAGATGTTTGACTGATGATGGATAGAAGTTGAGAATATAACATGTTCGGTGCCTCGCCACCTTTGTCGGAGACAAAAATGATGGGAATCCTATTGATGAAGAAGAGGCATAGGCAACGCCAAGCCAGAAATACGTTACCAACATACTCTTGGTACGAAATAAACTTCCTGCCATAGAGAAGAGAAAGTCTCGGTCCCCTCGTCCTAGGTTGAGAGCGATGAACCCGCACCACATTTGATAACATTCGAACCGAAAGCCGAAGCACCACAAATAGAAGCTAATGAACAGACCTACGATACCATAGAAATACATCACAATCCCTTGTGGAAAAAAGTGGAAAAAAAAGGATTTGCTGAGACGAAAATCTATGATCCCATCATATAGATAAATAAAAATAAAAAATAAAAATCTTGTTTTTTAACAATATGGGGAATGGAAACTGACCTACCCTTTGGTGTTCCCTGAAAACAACCTTCTTTTTTTAGCATATTCATAAAGAGCTCGAAAAAAAGTTTAAAAAAAGAAAAAAGAAATGGTTTTTATTTGTAAGATTTTTAAAAGAACATGATCTGAATGATCGCACATACACCCTAGCACATGTTCCTCTACGCTGAGAGCA